TTTTTTTTTTATAAAAGAATCTCAAAACCCCAAAATGAAGGATTCCAATCATCCACTGAAAAAAATGTTTCCTGAATGCTTGCTGTGCTCGAGGCTTTCTACAGGGCACTGTGTGATCATGGCAACCCAAGCTCCCTGGGCCCCATGTCTGGGGAGCCTGGTGGGGCCCAAGGGGACAGAGAGGATGAGCAAATGCAGCGTCCTGTGATGAGGACTTCAGGGAGGCCCACAAAGGGATGAGTCTCTGACTTGGGAGGGGCCAGAGCAGACATCCCAAAGGAAGTGACCCTGAGCTGAGACCTGAGGGGCGAAGAGGAATTAGCCAGGTGGATGTGCCAGGTAGAGGCCACAGCAGGAGAAACTGCAAGTGTTTCAGTCCTGCAGGAACTTAGGGGCCAGATGGCCTTGGGATGGATGAGGATGGAGACATGGGCAGGGGCCAGGTCACCACGGCCTTGTGGGCGCACGTGGGGCCTTGGGCTTTATCCTGCAGGCACACAGTGCTGTGCACACTGTACAGCCCACGGGGGCTCATGCTTTCTTGCTAACTTCCGTGTGTGAACATGAGCATGCCCTGAGCCGGTACAGCTGAAGATCCCTTTGAAGTGTGCCCTGCATGATGTCCCTTCACTACTTAGGAGCCCTCACAAACACATAGCTACATTGGCTCCAGCCCCTACTAACTGGGCATTTCTATACCCGTGAGACTCAGCGATGCTCAGTGTGGGTTTGGAAAACCAGGGCGGAGGCTCACTGGGGACGATGAGGCTGTCCTTCCTCTCAGCTCAGGGTCTGCCTTATGCATACCTCTACTTTGTCCCATAAGTGAAGAGAGCATCAGGGGGTTGGAGTGGAGAAGGACCAGAGCCTCCTCTGTGTCTCCAGAGAAACCTGAGGGCAATGTGCAAGGTGGACAGCGTGGGACCAGCACCTGAGGCAAGAATGCAAGCGACCGTTCAGTGGTGATGATAATGAAATGACGGGCCGAAGGCAGAGAGAATGTGGGGGCAAGACACCCTGGTCAGTGTTCAGGAAGACAGAGGATAAGAAAGAGTCGATGAAGAAAGCGAGCTGGAGAGGAGGCTGGTTGAGTTTCATTGGCTCCCAGGGTATCCATAGCAACTGCACCTAGTGGGCAGTCGATAGGAGGGCCTGGATCCCAGATGGGGCGTGGCAAGAGATGAGTACTTGTAAATAATTGCACATCAGTGATAAAGTCAGGCAAGTGGAAGAGATGACGGAGTAATCTACAGAAGAAGGGACGCACTGGGCTAAGGAGATAACACAGATGGTCCCCAGGATTTAAGTTATTGATCCAGAAAAAGAAGGCAGGTCAGATTTCATAGATCTGAAGGATTAAAATCCAGTTTTCAAAAAGCAGAAAAGTGAACAGGAGATGGGGCGGTTGAGTGGGAGCCATGGGCCACAACCACATCAGGAGGCTGAGCAGAGAAGGCGGGGTGGGGGGCTGTGTGCAGCAAGGCAGCTGCTGGGGTGGGAGCCTGCGCCAAAGGAAGGGGCCCTTATTTNGTGTAGAAGCCCCTTTGGAAGTCACAGGTGGCAGGGTCTTCCCCAGAGTCCCTCCTGCACGTCGTCTCCCGAACGCTGAATTCTATATCCATGCTCACGTTGTCTTCTTCCAGGATATTGACCTTGACAAAAACAAAGCATCAGTTTGCCGTTGATGTGTTTCTGAAGCTCACCATGCTAGAAATGTTTCTCCCGGCACGAGAAAACATTCAGAATCTTCCACTGCTAAAGCCACCAATCATCTCAGCCATCTCCCAGTTCCATGCCCTCAATCTGAAGACCAGAGGAAAAAGAGCTTTTTACCAAAGGCATGCAATACTTTAGGGAGAAAATGGACCCAGAACTTCACTGTCCTACCTCCCAGGGAAGTGTTGCGTCTAATGACTTATATTTACAATTGGTCCTCATTATTCATAGGTTCCATACTTGCTAATTTGCCTACTCGCTGAAATTTATGTGTAACCCCAAATTTCAATACTCGGGGTCCTTTTGCAGTCATTCATGGCTGTGCACAGAGTGGCAAATACCTTGAGTCACCCGATGCAAAGTCCCAGCCGAGATCAAACCAGGTGACGCCAGGCTTCTTGCTTCAGCTCCCATCCTGGGGTCAAGTGTCATTGTCATGGCCTCTTTCGTCCAGCATTTTTTGTTTTCTGTTTAAAGTGGCCCTCAACCATAGTTCTGAAGGGCTGCCTAGTGTTCCTGAGTGCAGGAGGCTGCGGCATGTCTCATGGGGAAAATACGTGTGTTAGATGAGCCTCGTTCAGGCTGAGTTACAGCACTGCTGGCTGCGAGTTCATTGATTAAGGACTCAACATATATATTAAGTCAGGTGTCTTTCAACAGAAACACACGTAAACAAGGTTGTGTATTGAATGGTTAACAAAAATATTGTGACCAGGGACTTGTAGGAACCTCACCCTGTATTTCCCCCAGGAGCAGTGGTTCAATATTCACAAGTTCAGGGTTTGCCGCAACTTTATAGAACATGACTACCATAATGATGAGAGTCAGCTCTGTGTATTTCAAGGTATCATTTTTCTAAAAGAATGCTCCAAAATGTCTTAACTCCTGACATAAGTAATTTAACGACAAGTACATCTCTGTTCTCCAGGCCCTCTTTCTGCTCGATCACTTCTGATTTATGAATGAGTCGATGCAATTTTCTAGTCCTTTCCACCAAGAGTGGGATGTTTGGGGAAACTTCCTGATGAATCTGTGAGGTTCTGATGATCCGAGAAGTCATATGACTCATTGAGTGCCCACTGTGTGACCAGCACCAGAGGCGGAGTGGGGAAGACTCCATGCAGCTTAGATTTGGCAGGGGGGACACCACACAGCAAACACATGAAGGAAAACTAAACAAGGTTATTCCAGATGGCTATGGTGCTATGAAGAAAAGCAATATGGTAATGGGAATGGCAGGGAAGGAGCAGCTACGTTAGAGAAAGTGAGAGAGAAATCCTCCTGAGGAAGGGCTTTTTCAGCTGGGATGTAAAGGATGGGAAAGGGCTCATCATATGAGGAAAAGCAGAATCAATGTCCTGGGGTAGAGCAAATATGGCTGCGGTGGCTGGAGCAAAATGAACAAGAGGAGAACAACATGGTGTTGGAGAGATGGGGTGTGTCCAATGACTTATGGTCTTGTAGCCCATGGGAAGGTGTTTAGAGTTTATTCTCACTGCAATGAAAAGTTAGCAGAGGGTTTTAAGAGGTAAGATCTGAATCACCATGGCTGCTGCAAGAACACACGGGGGCAGGAACAAGATGGCAGCTGGGCGACCAGGTGGGAGCCCACCATGGTCCAGTACCCAACAATAGCCCCAGGCCACAAATTTCTCTACCCTCTAGTTCCTCAGCCCACCATGTGGCAAATTTGAGTCAGCAACACATTTACCATACTGCTCAGTGAGGAGACAGGTGGTGACAACACTGCCCGGGAGAGCACAGACCACGTATAGGTGGGAATAATGAGCACAGGTTAAAAAATGTTGNTTGTTCACTTCTGGGTTTGTCAGGAATGAGACCTGTGACATAATAACAGTCATAAGGCAAAGCACCTCTGTCCACCTCCGGAATGTGCTGTGATTTTATTATTGGTGCCCCATATGCATCTCTTAAGCAAGGAAGCAGTGGGAGGTCACCAGAGTTTTGCCACCATCAGCACCAATAGGAAAAAGCCTCAGGAATGGAAAAATGGCTCCTAAGCCACAGAACACTAACCATTCCCATTTCAAATGAGAGGTGACACAAGAAGGAAAGAAAGGAGAGCCCTTCCTCCAACCAAGACTCATAGAGGAATGGTCAGCTCTGGTCACATGGCTGGAGGATTGCGGAATTCAGGCCTAACCAATCAGATGAGGTTTAGTTCAGATCCTCCTAACACATTACATTACTGCATACATGGGCCTTATAACTTGGGCCATGCATCCTCAAGGGAGCAAGCAAGTTCAAGTTTAGAAGCCCTCTTAAGGTGAAAACCAACATCTATCCTGCCTATTTGACAGAAGTGTTAGTCCATCAAATGAAATCACATATGGAAGAGCACTGTGTAAATATAAAGGGATACCTAAACGAAAAGTTGTATCACTATTGCCTGGTATTAAGAAAGGAACAAAAATAAAAGAAAATGTTTATTTCCTTTAATTACTGTAATTGGTCAAAGGTGATGTATAGATATCTCTAGTTTTAAATGACTCACTAACAGAAAGCTTCAATATAAAGTTGTTTCAAGGGAAAAAACAAAACAAAACATTAAAAAGAACAGATCTCAACTTACCAAGCAGATAATTGTTTCTCCATCTAGAGGATCCCAGGATATCCCTAAAAACCATCTACGTAAATTTAGGCATCAGTAAGTATCAGCATGTGAAAAAGAGAAAAAGGAGAGACACTGTAAAAATGCAAATATTATCTGGAGGACCCTAATGTATGATATAATTCATTGTTAGTGAAATAAGGCAATACATTATATTAAATAACTTTACATGGCGTCATGCACGTATGTCTAACAAAGAATGTGGGCAAGAGCAGTTTACATGAAATTTAAATTGACTTAATTGCTTTCCACTAGGCTCAGAATCACTCCCAAATGCTGTGGACCAGAAAGACGGAAGCATGTCATGTGGATTTGCAAACAGACTTTGTTTAGATCAAAATCTGGAGTTTTCTCTCTGTGAAGTCCCCATATGTGTTCAGTTAGGTGAAAAAGTACATAAAAACACATGTCCACGCAAAAACTTACTACACATGAATGCTCATAGGCATCGCTATTTACGATTCCCCCAAAGGGGAAATAACCCAAGTGTCAATCAACTAATAAATGGATAAATCAAATGCGGTCTATCCATGCAATAGATTGTTGTTCAACAATATGAAGGAATGAAGTACTGACACATGCTACAACAGGCACGGCCCTCCAAAAGATAATGCTAAATGAGAGAAACCAGCCACAGAAGAACACATACTATATGATTCCATTCATGAAATGTCCAGACTAGGCAAATCTAGAGACATGAAAGCTGGCTAGTGATTGCCTGGAGCTGGGAGGAGTGGGGAGTAGAGAGAGACTGACTGCCGACGGGCATGAGGTTTCTTTTGGAGGTGATGGAAGTGTCCTGGATTTAGAGAGTGGTGATGCTTGTACAACCTGATGGCCATACTAAGACCACTGAACTGTACACATTAAAAGGGTGAATTGCATGTGATGTGAATTA